GACTTGCACTACTGTTCAACGAAAGCTACGGCAGTGTTCCAGGACGTGGTGGGTTTTCGCCTGGCAAGCGTTCTCCCTATAAAAGCCACAAATGTCCGCTTAGCAACACTGCAACGTGGCGGATGTGACTCGCCACAAAATAAAGTCACAGCTATGCATTTCACACAGACGCAGTCCCCAGCCTTCTACATCGAAGCTGTGCAACTAATTCTGCTATGAACAATGCTTTGTTGGAGCACAGATCATCTCTATCTCGTAATGGTTATTGTTTGCAAAAAGCATTGTTTAGGCTCCTATGCTCACGGATCACTACCTGGCGAAATTACCCCCAACTTGTGTTTTGACGGATTTTTGCGCGCCACAGCGCCATAATGTCCCTGGGTCTGACTATTACCTGACAGTATGCTCACTCATACGGACAACATATTTTCTTTTATAACTTTCATTAAAACGTAATGTGTTAACATTCCACAGAAGCCATGCTTGTATGCATACTTGATCACGCCTTTACAAGTGTGTCTCGTTTTACCGAGAATATACTATTTATTTATTTATTTATTTATTCATGTCAAGTGGGTGTTTGTCAGCAGTAGGAGTCCGCTGTGCAGTTTGTGTTTTGTTATTTATTGATTGCAGGGCAGGATGCATTTTGGCAAGCCGTTGGAGCGGGCTTGTCGGAATACAAAACTGTCCTGTCCAGAAAAGGCCGACAGGATCTCAACCTCCGCTGCTGCCAAACGGTGCGCTTGGGAGTGGTCTCTTCACCGCCGCACCCAGCCCCGCGCCAAAGTGAACCTCGTCCCATCAAGAAACGATCATGGTCCTTTGGAGAAGAAACCCACGTTCCGCGAAAAAGCGACACTCCTCCCGCGGAGAAGCGACCAGCGTTTGCGCCAAGGTCCTCTAAAAGATTCTTAGTGTTGGCCAGTCGATCGACGGGGGAGTCTGGGGCATGTAGAACCTAGAAACTAGAAAAACACGCGCAGAAAACGCAAAAAGCACTAACGCATGCTCTGCGGGTTTAAAATTTGGTTTTTGAGTATTCTTTTCCAAAAAGGTTTTTCGGAGGTTTTTGATATATTTCTGTTTTCAGAACGTTAATCTTCCAAAAAATGGGGCACATATATACCATATCTACAAAGTTGAATGTACTTACACTGTACGTAGTCGGAGAAACGAACGGGCTTACGCACCTCCCGACCACGGCGCTTGGTCGTTGTAGGCGGCGGACCAGGTTCGGAAGCTGTCGGGACGGCTGAAGCTTGTAGGCCGTGAGCTTGGTTTATAATGAACTTCATTAGCATGCGGAAAGCCGGTGCGGTGAGTGTGACTCGCAAGAAGAAATACTAGAGGAGTTAGGCGAGATAGTTTCTTCCATAAAGGCGGGTTCTGGACGGTCGATGGTGACGACTTCGCGTCGACCACCGCGGTCAATAGTGTACGCATTATTCGCACGATGTAGCACCTTGGAAGGTCCTATGTACGGCGACTAAAGAGGCTGTTGAACACCGTCTGCGCGAAGAAGGATTATGAACACGTAGACAGCTGCTCGGGCACCTACACTTGTGTCTTCTGCGATCGAGGAGCGGGTGGATGAAGCTCACGAATCTGGTGAGCCAATCGATCCGCGTAACTTCCATAGTCTAAAGTGGAAGTACAGGGGACTCGTGCTACCAGCTGTCCGGGCAACCGCAGGGTGCAACGGTAGACTAGCTGCGCTGGTGTGGCGTCGAAATCGGTTTTAACCGTGTTTCTAAATCCTAGGAGGATGAGGAGAAGTGTTTCAGACAATGAAGGATCTGCGTGCGCCCGTAGCGCTGCCCACAACTGGCGATGGAAATGCTCCACCATGCCCTTAGCGGCCGGATAATACCCCGTCGTCTGAACGTGGCGACAGCCTAAATCCTTAAGCAACGTGTCAAAAGTAGACGAGAAGTATGACCGTCGATCGGTGATCAAGATGGCGGGACCGCCGTATCGAGCTACTCAACGTTCCAGGAAAGCCTACGCTACTATTTCCGAAGAGCACCTAGGTATAGGAATAGCTTCCGGACACCTAATGAACCGCTCGATGCAGGTCAGTAGATACACATGGCTTTTCGAAGGCGGCAGAGGACCTACAAGCTTCTGGGCGCACGTGCTGCAAACGTGCACCTGGCTTGGGAAACGTGCCTAATGCGCTTCTCGTGTGCTTGTGCCCCTTCGCGCGTTGACACGGAAGGCAAGCAGCTGCCTAAGTACGAACGTCTTGATTAACATTGCGCCAAACGTATCGTGCGGTTAAGAGTTTACCCGATGCACGAATGCCTGGATGAGACAAGCCGTGTAACATGTCGAACATGGTCTGCCAAAACTTGCGTGGGACGAATGAACGCGGCGTGCCCAGAGGTCAAGGTCACCCTGACAGGTTTGATCGTTTCGCTCTCGACTAGTTGTATCTTTATGGGAGTTATACATCTGGTACAGCCTACCGTCTGCCTACTAGCTCTTTTATATCTACTCTGATATTTATCAGACTTCCGCCATCTGGTATTTTCCTTGGCAACATCGTTGTCCCTTATTTGTTACTTCTCCCCTTTCTATTACTATTGTCCTTCGTGGCTGACTCTCTAACTTGGTCTGAAATGCTTGCGGTAAAAAGAGGAATATCTACTAGCCGTCGTGTAAACAAAGCGAGTTAAATGGGGGGCAATACAGCGACCAACGTGACCATACCGGGCTCCGTTGGGGTGATGGACGTATTTTCTTCTATGCGCCGAGAAATCGCGCAGCTGCAAGAGGAGTTGGCGAGTGTGAAAGTGACCTATAACAGCTTACAGCCAATAGCTAAGAGTTAAGTGGCTATTACAAGCCTAGTTCACCCTGGCAAGGTAACGGATGAAAAGTGCTCCGAGACTTCCATGCGCCTCCTCAATGCTATTAGTACTGAGGTCATGGACCGGATAAAATGCCTCACGGAGGTAGTGGTCTATAATTTACCTGACCGTTTAAAAGTCCACACCATCAAGAATGTGCTGATGGATATCTGCGGTCTAGAAGGTCATTTAATAAGTTGCACCAGACTGAGGAAAAGGGATATTAAAAACCTATATCCCGTGCTATTTAGGTTTGATACAGAGCGTACGGCCCGTAAATTCCTGTCATACCAAAAAGACTTCCGGTCGCGCACAAGCTTTGTCCGGTTAAAATTAGTGAACGCAAAGACAGCCATGCAACGCCGTTACGAAAAGCTTTTTGCATCCAAGCCTACTACTAATGAGCGGACTCCTGATCCTCTGCAGGACTTTGTCACCCCGGAGGCCTCCCACATAGTTGATTTAGATGTCACAGAGGATGTAGCTCAGGGTGAGATCAAGCAAATGGTACAAAACCATTTCTCGGTGGCAGAAATGCTAAAACTGGAGGTTATGGATACCCATGACCCCAAGCGACTTTGGGAGATAAGTAGTTGTCCTGAGAAGAAACCCGGGACTTGTTCGCCTACATACGAGTATCCACTCGGTTGTACAGATCGTCCCAACGGACCAGGAGGGCAAGTCGCAGAGGCATCATTCTCAAAGACGATCAATGCAGCAACCTGCGCCTCGCCACCCGAAGTACCCCAATTTGGTCGGCCAGCATCTAGTATGTCACCTGTCTGGAACCGACACTCGCCGGCTCCTCCAACTAAACGGCTTCGCGAGCAAAATTCACCATACTGCTCGCCTGCTACGGCCATACCATTCATTTCTGCGTCAGAAGCAGCCAAGCCAGAGGCCGCACTGCACACGGGTACCAAAGGAAGAAATACTACGTTTAGTACTAATGCGTTTAACGTTCCTGATGACATCCTTAGAAGTGTTCAGGAGCTGGATTCTTGAGGTCAATGGAATCCAAGGAAACTCACTAGAGGTTGTGCGACTGAACAAAAGAATAAGTAAATTCGCGGCACCACTCGAATTAATTACTAGGGACGAATCAACTCTCCGAAGTATAATGACAAGTCATGAAGAGCTGCGTAATACAGCAGAGCTGAAACAGCTATATTTTGGGCCACTGAGGGTGAGCCCGACGTGGGGGCCATCACACTTCGAGCCCGGTGCTCGGGTTTCTCACACCCATAACGATCAACAGGCTCTCGTTCTATTCTCGTCTCAGAAGTCACACACACGTGAGCTTGAACCAAAATTGCCACCTGAAGCGACGATGGCAACCAGAGCCAAACGGCCCTGCGTAAGGATGACTCCGAAAAATCACCGAAGGCAGCTACCCAAACCTCACACACCCATGAAACAGCAAAGTGTGAGGCATCCCCCAGCCGACATCCGAAGGGGGTATTTGGCCGTATACTACCCAGGTACTTAACGTACCCGAGGATCTTTCTTTGGATGCATTTACGAGAGGTATCCTTGCAGTATTTGTTTTAGCAACACGTTCGGTACGTGTTGAGGAACTACCTAAAAGAAGCAGTGAATTCCCTGCACCGATCCAAATATATTTAAAGGATGAAGCAACTTCATATACCGTCATGACAAACTTTGAAGAACTACGCAGTGCAACCATGATGGATCAACTTTTTCTTAAACCGCGAAAGCTAGCAGTAATGAAAATAGCCCGCGGTAAAAGGGAAACCATCACACGTCCCATATCCACACACCGGACTTCCGCAGCTAGTACATCACCCAATATTATTCAAGGTTCTTCTCACCATGTTCCAGAGCGTCCGGACTCTGGAGTACCTACCATATCTCACCGGTTGTTACCGCCACAACTACCTGAGCGGGCAAATTCCCTTCTTTCTACACCACATCACGCGCCTTTTTTATCCAAGGTAGGGATGAGCCGCGACAAGCTCATCCCAACACCCAATACGTCACCAACGAAAAGCACGCTCTTACTTCTTTTGACCCAGTTCCTACACCTTCCACAGATGGCCCAGTAGCTCTTCGTGCTCCCTTTATGTCATTCATAAAACTGGGAGACACTGGCCAACTTTTCTCCACTTTACTCAAAATTGCCAGGTCGCTAAACAACAAAATGCAAATTCCACGAAGGTAATAGGTGAAAAAATAAATAAAGGAAAAACAAAGATGGGGGGGGGGGGGGGGGGGGGGGGGGGGGGGGGGGTGGGGGGGGGGGGGGGGGGGGGGGGGGGGGGGGGGGGGGGGGGGGGGGGGGGGGGGTGGGGGGGGGGGGGGGGGGTGGGGGTGGGGGGGGGGGGGGGGGGGGGGGGGGGGGGGGGGGGGGGGGGGGGGGGGGGGGGGGGGGGGGGGGGGGGGGGGGGGGGGGGGGGGGGGGGTGGATGATCCCTTGTCCTTGCTGCACCTGATGCAATACTTAGTCCGACCGACACATGGTTTGGGTGTGAGCCTTTACGGTGGCGATGATTCCTTTTCAATCCAAGGCTACCAGCTGATAAGCCAATCTGCGTACGACACCAACGCGTTATGTCGATGAGAGCATCAATATACATCCGCCCAATTACCTTACTAGCACTAAGCACTGCCGAACCAGTCTCACCCACCGTCCCACAAATGTCCGCATCAAACTTTCACGCCTTAAGTCATCCCCAGTGCCCCCAGTTCCTCCTATTGCCAGCCAAACCCCGTGCTCTTGCATCCACCCACCCAATTTCTATCCCCCCTCTCGCACCACACACCACCAAAATCTGTCACCATCTGTCTCTCTTCTGCCCCACCCATTTCCTGCACGCTTGTAGTCGGTCGACTATCAATCTTCCTGAAACCAATGGTTTCCCACCTACAGGCTACGTCCCCGCGGCGACGTAATCGAGGGCAAATCGCCTGCATCAACTTGGTAGGAAGGGTGCCGGCATGAATCACCCAACGGACACGTGGTGCAACGCCGACCAGTTCCCCACAGTACCTTGTTAGACCTGATAATAACCACACCTGAGACAATCCCAAACAACGGTTGCACTCAGTAGCCTAGAAATATTCCCGGAATCTGAACCCCGCTTTAGGTCTTCCTGCTCGCAGTTTGCAAACACTCCCCCCGGCCAATCACGTCCGAAGTATCTCAGAAAGGGCCATTGCGGTAAACCCCAAGGCCGATAAGCCCAAATAACTGCCCACATATTATGCCACGTGTTCTGGTGTCTTAAACGAGCAGTGGGAACAGGGCACCGTTCATACTGTCGCGACTCCCAGGAGCAATCGTCCCGCAATAATTTTAAGGCACACACAGCACTATTAGTCTCGACCCATATATGGCCTATCCTATATACCCACCGAAACGCCTCCCCGAACCCTCCCCCAACTGCGGCCCCTCCGCTGCCTTTGCCTCAAGATGCCCCACCGGCGACCGGTACCGGTCTCTGCGATACCAACCATACCCTCCGATCCCCCACAAACATAGCGCTGATCCTGAGACCAAACGATGATTTGCGAGCCATCTATCGTCCAGGTTCAGATTCCGCGTTAAAACATCCCAAGAAAGAGCCAGTGCCAAGGCCCAGTTTGCCCGGAACCAAAGGCGCCACAGCACCCTCCCGCAGTGCGATCGCGAGGACGGGGGCACGACCTGACCCTCAATATGGGCACTCCCCCGTCTACCCATATGATCCCAACGCAAGTCTGGCACTTAGCACCTCCATATGCCGCACCCCTTCCTCACATAGCTCAGATACCCCACTAACCAACCCCCCTCTGACCCCGTATAGCCTAACATACCCCCCGGTCACATCCATAGCGCTTGGTTGAATCTGACCACAAACCAGCTGCACACCACGGTTCATATTCGATCATACAACGTCACCCCCCCGTTTCCGCCTAATCAACATCATAACACTCATCCCCGACCACACTATGGTCCTGCTTTGGCAATTCCATCCCAACAACATAAATAGATGGTTCAATCCCTCTCCATGCTCCCTCTTGAAACTACTACACTCTCATATGCGAGCAGGTGCCACACCCCCATTGGCAATGGGCAGCACTGAGCTGTCCATCACCGCCGAACCCTTCGGCCATAAAGGTGGGCACCGTACAGGAAGTCCGCAACTACCGACCCAAAACCCCAACATCTGATTCTCCTCAACGATTCGATGGCTGCCCACGTAACCGTCATCGTTCGCTATACAGAGCCTTGCTTATGCAAATGCAAGGAAGTCCCCGATCGCCGAATCCCGGCGCATGTGGTTTAATCACAGGAGCCCGATCGCTTAAGCGCAAAACCAGCCAGCTTTATTTTCACAACCTGATCACTGGCGCGAATTGATTCAGGTCCTGGCGATTATTAGCTTCGTATCCTCGATATGCAAAAGGCGTTCGAAAAGATTCCCCCATGAAACGCCTATGACATAAAGCTCAAGGCTTACGGTTTCAGACACCCCTCAGTCTTGACTGCTTAAAAATCCTACCAAACCGGGCGTACGCGCAGTCAGTGAAGGTAGCACACTTTGAGTTCCCATCCCGTCACATTATATGTTCCCCCGAGCGGTGTATTGGCCAAGGCATGCGTGCTTAGGACCAACCCGCTGTTTTTTTGATTTAGCCTGATGGACGACAACTGTAGCACCTGCGCCATGGACGCTCCCAAGAGTCCTCTCTTTGTGCCGGACGAAATAACCGGTCGGTAAATTTCTTCCTCACCAAGCGCTAAAGTATCCGCATAACACCCATAATCCCCGTGCAGACCCATCCGTCCCATCGAGTCGTGGTGTGTCCAAATAGTGCCCCACCAAACTCAGGCAGTCACCATCACTAAACAGCCCCAACTATCGTGATGTGTGCGTTTAACGCGTTTGAATGGTACCGCGGCCCATCCAACTAAAAACGTTAGCTACTATGTTACCTAGAATCAACGTCTATTATACTCAGCCCCACCCCCCGCGAATCAGTCTCAAGTGCAGAACTTCCGTTACTCCTCTCAAGACCGCCGCCATGTCTACCACCAGGGCCGGACCACATTAACACCCAACGGCAGAAGCGCCGTGATATATGAGCTATATAAACCGCAAGTCCTGTTCGTTTGCCGCATCTGGGAATAACAGGCCCCTCATGCTTCAGTACTTTGCGGAAATCAGCACCCGTCGCAATGAAAATAGTCTCGGAAAAAGGCTCAGACGGTCGGTAAACCCCCCCTCAAATCCCCACCCAGCCCTAGCTCTTCGGTACCCTACCGAATGTGACCCCCCACGCTCAACCCACCCGCCACACATTCACCGGGTCTCCTTACCTCTCGTTCCCCCCCATATCTACTATACAATACGTATCAACACCCAAGCGGTGCACAGAGAAACCCCCCGAGCCATCCCCAGCTCCTCGTGCACCTCCAACCCCGATCCTGCCACCGACCCCCACAGCTGTCCACTATGCAACCGTTAGCTCTCACCGCTGCCGAGCGAGGAAGAAACTACGTTCATAGCGTTTCTTTGCCTTGTCCGCATATTGTAAATATCGGGAACAACTATACCCTTCAGACAGCCAGCTGCGGGACGATTCACAATCCACAGGCAATTCACCCATTCCAATCAGGAGGTACGAACGAAACAGAGGCCATCACCCCTGCCTTACTCCTATTCACCCACTTGAGCTTCTGATGACACCCCTTATGCGTGTACCCCGTCCCCGATGAGGGGCCATAGGTAAACACCTTTTTTGACCATGCACATGGCGTCACACTATTGTATTGCGGCACACTTAACTAGGGCTACGAAGCCCGGGAGCATCTTGGGCTCGAACGAGTTCCTACCCCATCCTTTGCGGACCCAGACACGACCCCTTGCCTAACTCGTTCCCGAATCCTTTGAAGCACTTCCACTACCATCTTTTACCGGAGACTGCACAACACGCGCCCCGCCCCCCTGAAAACCCGTCCATCCCCCCGTCGATCGCCTGCGCTCTAACTCCCGCCATTCAGCCCCCACATCCGCCTACTTAACCCCTGACCTGCTTATCCACTGATCGACGCCAATGACCCCTCCCCTCTTCCCCCATTCCCCCCCCACCACGTTACGCACCCCAGAAACCATTGACATGTCTCCTTTACGAAGTCCAGTCAACGATACTGCACAACAGATCAGCAGCGTAAAGGGCTGGCCGTCCCGAACTCAAGAAAAGTGGTCAGCATCGAACCTTCCTGTAGGTCACACTGACTCAGGACTTCACACTCCATGCGCGCACCATGTGCCGCCACACCTCCCTTCCCCCCAAACCCCCCGACCCAACAACCCCATTACACTTCGTTTTACGGACCGCAGCCCTATTAAGTATCCAATAAAGATAATACTTAACCCCATCAACAAACCCCCAACTGACTTATTACCCACACCCACGACCACGTTGGTCTCTTCTGTACGTGATAGAGCGCCAGCCAACACCAATATTCCCATGCGACACGTCACCACCCCCCCCATAAACCCCCCCCAACTCTTCTCCAACCCAGTATCCCAGTCCCGTTAACACGCGACGCAAGACCCCCCCACGATCATCCCCCGTCCTAAACACTCCAACCCAAAGCAACAGTAAACAAAATTAAAATATACATCCCCACTACTACACCTCCAAAGCCATCAAACACTTACAAAGACAAAACACCATCTCCACCTTCAACGTCCACACCACTAATCCCAAGCCCAGCATCCCGACGTACCCCACTAATAAACGATTTACCATATACTCACCAAACCACGGCTGAAATTATCACCACCGGGCCCCCCAACCCACCATCGACGGACCCACGACACCCTAACCACTCATCCAGGGCATTTACACTCGCCCATATCGTGCAGTATCCCAATTCGGCCCGTACATGCCTAATTATATCAGAAATAAACGTTTAGTCGTACCACACAAACTACGTGCCCCGCCGGGTCGCCCGGGCCTTTCCACTGCACACTACCAGCGATCCTTAAGCTTCAATCCTTTAGCTGCCCCCGTCCCCAATTATTCCGGCTACCCTACTATCACAGGGGCAAACAGCTTAACCACTGCCGGCCTGTTTCCGCCGCGCTGGACACCGATTCCCGTCACCCTCCCCCCGCAGTTGCTATAATTGCCCACCCCATCTCGCTTTCCCCATAGGCCGAGAGGGTACGAACGTAATAAAACACTTATACCTGCACCACCGCCTACCATATACACGTAATGCTACCATGTAGTGTAGCCCCGCCCCGCTCCCCCAAGTAAATCCGTTCTCTTCACAGCGTGCGAATATATTATTGTATCCCATAGGAGGCAAGGGGGATGGGAGAGAGAAGGGGTTTGAGTCCTAATGCCTGACACTGTGGAGCTTCCCAATCAGGATACCGTCCCAGTTAGATACTGTTGTGCTCTCCCATAGG